TTTGTAAACTTTCTCTAAACAAAGAGCTATGGCAGCCCCGCTTCACAAATTCCTTTGCTTACAAAATTCCAATTAGTAGTTTCGTACTACTAAAGGCGGTGTTATCTCAGATCAAGATTTTTTTCACAATATCGACTTGACCCTTATTGTAAAAGCGATGCCGTAGCTCCTTCGCCTAAAGGAAGCTTAGTTAAGGTCGGCGCCCTTCGTTCTATACTTAGAACCAGAACGAGTGTAGCGGATCACAATCCACTTACTCCAAGAGTAACTACAACCTTAACCCAACACTAACTAACTCTTCCGATTAAAATTCTAAAGTACATTAACTAGTTTAGGCGGCTATGCCGCCTATACCTAAATCTATACGGCTTCCTATCTATGTATTTAAACCTAGTTAAATGTGTTACTACTGGGTGTTCCAGCCTCTTACCGACTTGTTGTTCAAGTGTAGCCACACCATTGTGTTGTCACAACAGTTTGTGTAGCCCACACCACTGTATGGTCACACCATCTTGTGTGACCCCGTTACACTTATCCGGATGGCCCTTACTGATAAAGCAGTGCGATGTCACATTTTTTCCCCTGCTTGGCGTCGGTCAATTGTAGCAAAACAGCTTATGGTACTTGTATGTTTTAAAGCCTTATATATCCACGATTCCAGGTTAGAAAGAATGCTCTGCAGAGTATGATAGGGTTTATTCCATTCAATACGATCAATTTACTTTGACGGTGAATTACTTTCTCCAGCGGGCTTGATATCTTGTAGTAAGTATTCCGAGTCGGATGCTCATGGGTAGCACGTTATGCCATGCTAGTTTGCAAAATTAGCGATATCTTTAACTTATTGTCCAAGCCCCATTACGTACATGCTAAAATGTATCCAAACGACAATTCGTCTATTATATTACAGAGCTGGAGTTATCAGATTTGAATTGCCATACTAAGCTATCAAGCTTCGGTTAAATGTACAATTTCTTTAAGTGTTTGTCAAGTCTATCTCTAGCGCTAACTTGAATGTTCGTCGGAATATTGGCATTCGCGCATATGCTGCAAAGATCTGGGCAATGTTCGCTATGACAAACGTATTTACGAGGTGGCTTGGTCTGGCAACAGTTTTGTCCAGATAAAGGGAAAGTATGTCGATATGTCGCCAATCTCATATTAACGGATAACTTTTGGTGTGGGGCGAAACAGAACATGCGACCTATCAGATTGTTACAAAAATAGCCATAATTTATTAGGCCCCTATATTGGACCAATCAAATATGTGCCGGGCATTCCACGTCGTCTGTCACGCATCAGCCCATACCATGCGATGTGCTTGACTTTAAGTTGACCGATGGGCAGAAACACGTTGTTGCATTTTGACCTTTTTATTTAAAACTTCATTCGGAAATTTCGGCAAAAGTTTGACAATGTATGCTCTTGTTCTGCAGCGGAACTTTGCTTAGAGGAAGGTAAGCCAAGGTCTCCGACCTTACGTTCCTTACTAAGACCAGTACGAGTGTAGCGGATCGCAATCCGCTTCTTCAAGTACTAAAAAAATTAACTAAGGCAAACGAACACTTCTCTTTAAAATTGAAACTGTATTTAATTCGGCAAAGCCGCCAATATCTAAGGTTGTTCTAATTAGTATAGTAATACCTAATGAATACAATAAAACCGAATATATATAGTAGTATGCATTACTACTGTCACGTGATGGCTTTTTGCTACATATAGCCACACCAATGTGTGATTACACCAACTTGTGTAATCCACACCTATGTATGCCGCAACATGTGTTGCACTATTAGAAAGGATGGCAAGCTAAAATTTTATGGCTCACTTATGTTGATAAATATGCTTTTGCAAGAGCTTTTGTACTGATGTTCCTTGTCAGCCGTGTAACAGTACGGACCCGCGTGAAACACAATGCGTGACCAAACGCTCACGATGAAGGTCCAATAAAGGCTTTAAGCACCTCTGATAGCTTACAGGTCTCGTTTAACGAGCTTTCACCACGACAAGGATCTGAAGGTACCTCGTTGTAATTATTATCCAGGAGCTTACAATAGCCTATTTCGGAACAACCTTAACCACGGCTATGGTTAACTGTTCGTTCCAGCACAGTGCGGGGTCGCAAAGAGCGACTAAGCCACTGTAGTATGCGTCATAACGTCTTTTCTTTGCTAAGAGGGCAATCTTACTCAAATGAAAAGAATGAAGCAACCTCCCGATTCCCGACTCGCCTCTGAGAGCCACTCGGCGTTGACCCTCTTCATCAACTGAAGTCTGCAAGGCTTCAACGGTCCCAACACATACACGCGATTTTCACGGGAATTACACAAACAGCGCCTATATCCCGAAGCGCAGATCGGCAAGACCTCAGCTATGGGCTGACGGTGAGATCAATGCGTTAAAAAGTATGCCAGAGCTACATTGACATTTCTAACTTGCTTGTCGACGAACGCATAGATTCTAGCGATCTCTTTCTTACGACTACATTGTTAAATTATGGTTTTGATTGTCCTGGGCCTCTCGGTGCACCGCGGCACAGCCTCTAGACAAGAGCCTGCAACTTTTTGAATCCTAGTAGGGAGTCCAATTTGGTAATGTTTAGGCGTCGATCGTAAAGGTCCCAGTAGCGAGGGCGCAATTTATCGTAAATACTCTCGAAACTGTCTATATAGATAGATTACATTTGTCTTTATTTTCGTAATAACTTTGCCTGCTATTGACAAGTGCTTGTTGATTTTGCATATCAAGATTTGCTGGCATAGCTTCGCTGCTCAATTGCTTCAAGTTGAAACTATCATTATTAGCAAAACCTCCAAACCAAGTCTAGAGCCACTTTGTATTTGTAGACGCCTTAGGGGGCGCGGGAATATGCAGGACCATTTAGAAAAATGGTGTGAACATTGTAGATGCATGAAAATCACTGACAAATGCAAATTTAGTAAATAGGACATTACACACTAAAATCGCCACGCATATGCTTAGCAGGGTATATACCACTACGTGACTCATGCGTTTACCAGGCTGTGGATGGTCCGCTGCAAATATATAAATTTGGGGTCAAACGCCTTGAGCACAGTCTGCCAAACTATTCGGTAGAATCGGGTCTTAATACGAGACAATTACCAAGAGCAAGCCATGTAAGTATAGAACTTTGAGTGTGTATAGCTTATTCGAATCGTAGAGGTGACGGTGTCGCCGACGGGAGCAAGATGAGCTAATTAGCTGCATCGATCTACAAAGATCACAGTACTGTATCAGTATTGCTGAAAGCGTCTATACGCAGACCAAAACGAAAATTGGCAGATTGCGTTTCAGCATACTGCCAGGCTGTACTCTGTGATAGATTTTCCTCGCGCACGCATCAGTGCTCACCATTGTACATTTTGGACCACACTACATAACACTAACAAATTGTACGTGTTATCCCTACTGTGACGTCCTCCTTCAGATGTATCTTTTGTACAGAATTCTGTATTTGTGGTAGTTGTGTTTGTGCGGTGTTCTGGCTGACATCGAGACAATAGTAACGGTTCAATCACGATTTTCAGAGAGTTTGGAGACTAGTGTGTGCAGATTATGGATAATCACGTCGATGCTTAGAGCACCAAAATGAAAATAAGGACTCATAGTTTGGGCAACGCAGAAGCACATTCGGCATCACAACATACGAACAAGACTTTTACTTTATATCAAAGTTATACTCGGTCGAAAGTATTAATCATCATGTAATTGTTGAAGTTGTGTGCCTTAAATTAAACAGGTGTTATTTCGTGACAGGTAGCACTTTGTCGTGATGCGAATACGTCTTCCCTGTAGCAGGCCTGTCATTTCGATGATAAAGTAGTCGACGAAGCAGAGTCAGATTTGAAAATTATCAGCACAATGCTACTTTTTGCAAAATTTCATTAAATTCCACGCTTGTCTGAAATCGGGATCAAGCCAGCACTTTTGAGCACAGCTCGTCAATACAAAATGATTTCCTAATTTTGATTTCCTGTCAAAATTTGTATGTGCATATGCACGATGAGACTTGGACATTTGCGTCGATAAACGATTTGTTCTTGCAGATGCATTCATACATATGCCACGATTGAGCAGACTCCTTAGAGTATTTTGCAGTGACATAGTAGCAGGAGTTAAGGGTCCTTACCAACAAAATAAGCCGAGAGGGCTGATCAGGATGTGCTGTTATTCCTTTGAAGAAATAAGCGGTGTGGCTGTATCTAGCAATCGTAAACATGCACAATCTGACAATAATCGTTTGCCTTTACGACAGCGAAAGGCAGCGCTGGGGGGAGAATTTATTATGACATTACAGCGCTGCCTTGTAAAGGGCCACTGACGCGTTGCGCAGTATTTCGTTTTCGGCAATTTTCACAACTAGAATCTTCTGATCTGTGGTAAGACCCACATTGAGTCTGTGGTAAAACACGCTGCAAAATTAATCAACAAAGAAACTTACAGCCACTTTCGGCTCCTAATAAGATTGTTTGTCATTATCCCGAACAATCTCATGCTCTGTATCGAAGCTGTCGCAGTTTCATTCCAGCGACAAAAGCGCTTCTTCATCCTAGCAACGGTGAGTTTCTGAGTCGTTAGATACCCACTTTCCTCACCTTCAAGGCGACCAGTGGCTCATGACTTCCAAACTGGCTAAGTTTACGATACAATTCGTCTCCTAATAAATATAATATAAGGGCTTTCCATACAGCCACAAAGTTAGACGTTGATGTTGATGGCCATTTTACTTGTGATGTGAGCAGCTTGCAATATGTTTATCTTAAACTTGACGAACATAAATAAGGTGGACACATCAGGGGTGTCTAACCGTTTTATTGGTTAATACAAGAACTGCTTACTTTCTGAATCAAAAGCTTTATGTAATACAATGCATATTGGTGTGTACGAACATCATGATAGGTAAATAAGACTGATAATTTGGCTACAAATTTGGCAATCACAATTTCCACGAAAGTTATTAAAAAACAAAAATCATTGAGTTATACGTCCGGCATTGGAGCCACAGGCGGCGGAAGATCAGGCTGCGGAAGATTGTCAGTATCATCAAGTTTGATCGCTGCTGCAGCGAGTTCTTCTGCAAGCGCTTGAAGTGGCCTGTTGTCACTTTCCTTAGCTTGGGCAATCTTTTCACCAAGTTTATTTGGGAAGAAGCTCCTCAAAACCTTCACCATCTCGATTGACGCAGTCTCTGGGAAAAGACGGCGCATGTAGCTAGCCCAAGAAAGCAGCAAAGGATAAAAAGGTCCGTTGTTTACGACATCTAGTCCAAGGTATTTTAAAGCTGCGCTGCCGGACGTCCCAACCCATTCATCAAGCACGGCATCTTGTAATTTATCGCGAAGCTCGACAGGTAAATGGTTTTTTGAAACGCAATCAACAAGAATGTCGATGTCAGTTGATACAGCTCTTAGCTTAGGAAAAAGAAGTTTGACGGGGTCCCATTCGAGCTCTTCGACCTTCATGAGCCACGTATCAAGGCTACCATGATCCACGATGTCCTTGCTACTAGTTGCCTCGTCGAGCTTCAGTTCATGAAACAAGTCGTTTGAAAGTTTGATTCCGAGAATAGACTTGGCCATTTCACTGAAAATGCCTCCTGTCGTCTGTGCTGCTTCCTGGAAGTCAGTTGCTTCCGTTTCAAAGCCGTTTCTTTCATAGGCCTTAAAAAACAGAGTCTCTCTTGCCGGATCTCTCTTCGGCAATGTGCGAAACCATTTTTGCAACATTGGCTTTTTCAGCACATCGATCATCTTCTCGCTGGAATCGCCAAGCCATTTCTCAATAAGCGCCTTTTCCAACTGCTTAGCGATCAACGTTGATCCAGAGAATGGCTTGACTTGGGCAATAGATTCGATCAACTTGGCTTCGTCATGTCTGACGAGGGCAGAAACCATAAGCTCGGCACGTAAGTCCTGGTCGTTCGGAAAGGCTTTGCTGAAGACACTGGACCATTTTACAAACGCCTGACTCTCGAATATCGGTATCTCTACCTTATCAACGTTGAAGTCCTTCAACAGATTGAACGCTGCTTCCTTTTTGTCGCTTGTGAGTTTCATGTGTCCAATGGGCGAAACTCTTCTTATTACGGATGAACTGCCAATGTTTTGCAAAACCCAGGACCAAATTCTATTTAGTAGATGCGTAAATAAGTTACCATGCACGACAGCCGCTGCAGTCATTGTCCTTGGCTCGTGATTAGTCAAGTCTTCATGCGTAGTTGGTGTCAGCGTCCTCGTGTCTTGACGAAGATTCGCATTTAAATATGTGGCATCTGCTCCGAAAGAATCGATGCGCAATGCCAATAGCACCACACTTGACAGCAATACTAAGCAAAAGTGAGTTGATAAATCGCGCTTGGCCATCATTGGTAGTGTTGTGCTCTTGGTTGAGAAACGAACAATGACCCTTTTCATCAACCATGATGCGAAAAAGCCAGCACCAACATGCACTATTCATATCACTTGGACGTACCGCGAAGTGATGTGCGGCACATCGAATGCTAATCTTCTTCATGCGGACATTGGTGCAAAGATTTAATTTAAATAAGAAAAGGTTATGTATGACTGCGTGTTTCTACGACATTTCTTGTTTCCCATCTGTCAGTGAAATAAATATGCAGCGTATACACAAATTTGATTGCAAGAGAATTTTTCACCTTAGAAGTGATTGTTTTTACCCGGGAAGTGAGATAAGACAGCACAACAAGTTTTATAAAAAAGATGATTTTGCTAGAATATTCCAATATACGTGCTTTTTATCTTTCATATGAAGGATTCTTTTTTCTTAAAAGCTTGATCTCTTGAACCCATTTGACACACATGTACGGAACATGTACACAGATATGCAGTGGCTAGTCTACTATTGTGATACTTCTACTGATTACCTTATTTTGTAGGCTAATTACCTGGTTGAGCTTAGCTTATCTTTCACATTGATATTATTAATGCAGATGTCAAGAGTCATGGTGTAGCTGGCGGTACGAAAACTAGCAGAGGTTACTGCACGAGTTACAACAAGTGCCAACTTTCAGTCGATTTTTCAAACTGGCTGTCGTGCGCATTTATAGATTTGGGCTGTCGAATCCTTTGAAGTGAGAACTAGCTCTCTTTTCATACTTGCCAACTGCCACCCATCAATCATGTCTCGATATACCGGTATCGCTTTTTCATGAACTGTTTTTCAACGAAAAAAACAAACGAGCACCTATGAGAAAAAAAAATCAGTGCATAGCCGGTTATAAGTACCAAAAAGTGTGGCTTAGAAAATTAAGCTCTTGAACAAAAAATGTCGTGGTATGATGATGATTGAAGTGGAAAGTGTGAACATCCATCAACTTGGGTGAAAGCTGGTACCAATTGCGAACCTTGGAGGGAGGAGAATGACTGCATTGTCTGTTGAGGTGAGAACAGACGCATGAGCGGGATTGGTTGGTTAGATTGCCGAAGAGGATCCCGCAGACATTTTTCTTTAAGAGGCAACAGCCAGCAACGTCATCACGAATCACAACGACCTCATTGCGTAGCTAAAGCAGGTCAAAAATATTTGTGGGATCCCATTTAATTGCTGTTGACCAAGCTAAATGCAGTATCGACAAAGACATTTGTTGATCGTATTTAGGAAAACCATTTACCGCTTTTAATGGCCTCATCAACTTCATTGCAAAATAATCAAGAGATGGCTTGAAAACCAAGCTCTCGCCTGATTAATTCACCTCATGGTCAGGCATTTGCAAGTACATCACTTTGACTTGGAGCGAGTAATCAGACATGTATTAGCTTGATGCTTCTTACTCTAGATTGCTGCGGTATGTCCAAAGTTACGTGATTGAGAGCCACACAATGAAGACATTGTGCATAATCCTAAGGCGACTGAATCACGTATCCATACGTGTCGTGACGTGACATTTAAGCTTCGCACCTATCATGATGTCGATAGTGTTATTGCACTGATGTATTAAAGTATGGTGCCATTCTGACATGCAGATTAGCAGTCTCTAAGCAAATCAGATTATTCAACAGATCTCGGTTAGATCAGAACGCCATTTACCCTGTTCGATCTGGGCGAATCTCATTTAGGGTTAAGAACTCGGTCTTGCTATTAACTAGGCAACAGCCTGTAATGCTCGCAATTTCGAGCTTGAAGGTCGCGCGCTGGAGAGAAAACAAACGTATAGTATTTATGAAAGCGCGGCATTAGCAATATCAAGCGACAGATCGTGCTAGTCTTTGCACCATCTAATCGGCTTTCTACAAGCGGTCAAATTTCTTATTTACCCATCGTCAAGGGTGAATGAACGGCCGAATGACGTCCAGGAGTTGAGAATAGTCCAAGCTAGGATGTCGACTGACTCTTTTCTTGAAAAGGTCAAAATAGGCATATATAGGAGGCGTCGAGTCGGGTGGTGTGTGCAAGGTGGTTGTAGAGTAATAAACTCTTCGCTCTAAAATCAAAACTGACTTTTTTATTTTTATCCAAAATAAATATGGTAAAATCTAAATACATGCATAACTACTGGCTACCAAGCCACATACCGTATTCTTGTTTGGGTGCAGTCACACCATTCACATCTGGTGTGACAGGCGCCCCTTTTACCATGGTACGTGTAACCCCGTCATACCCTCCCCCATTAAAATTGAGAT